ACAACTGCTTGTACCTCTTGTTTGAAGGGATTAAGCACAGCTCACTTAAAAATAAACCCCAACAACAATAAATCAAAACCCCACTTGGCCACAGGAAGTGGTGATGTGTATTTCCTGTGATACCCCAGTGATTAGAAAAGGTGCTCAGGAAGTGGGGAGAAAATTCGGCTCCTTCAGTACCTGGGGAGCTTTAAACCCCTTCCAGCTCCCTGGGACAGTCCCCAGTGTCAGGCCAGCATGGGCAGAGGCTGATCTTCCTCAGTCATGTCCTTGCAGACACAGGGGGCTGCTGGGGCACGAGAAAACGCAGGCGTGGCTGTGGTTGTTGAAGTGTTAGAGAGGAAAGAGCTGGGGCTGGCCCCTGCCTGAGATGTTGCAGGAAGTGGAACCGAGATGCTGACTTGTTCACGTGGATGTGCTCTGTCTCGTGGAAGAGTTTTGATTCCTTCCCATGGGGTGATGCTGTTTGAACAAGTGAGTTGGAGGTCGTGCCTCGGGAAAGGAGAAGCATCTTCAAGATGAGGGGGAAACCACAGGAACCATTGATCTCCCAGGGATCTGTGTGCATGTGAGGAGCTGTTTGATGGTAAACACAGCTGAGGGCTATTGGGGGACCTGGCCTTGTTTGTACTGGGGGCTCCAAAGGGTCCCTGCCAGGCTGAAGCCTGTGGGAGGGTTTGGTTGCTGCATCCTGACCACATACCAGGGGCACAGCTCTTAAGAGTAATGCTGTGGACTAAGTGCCTTGGTACTGGGAGCATCTCCAGTGTTTAAAGTGGCAGCTGTCTCTATAGTATCACAGATTTAGATACAACTGGAGTTTAGATCACTGGGTTACTTAGTTTTAACTGTATTCAGTTGGGTGAAGGCTTGATCTATATAGTCCAGCCTCTGCTGCTGCCCTTCCCGTGAAGGTGAGCAAGGCAAAGTCTGCAAGGCAGAAGATGAAGGATTTTAAGGTGCTGAGGGCCCGTCTCCCCTTCACAAACCACGTGTTTCCCTTCATCACGGCGTGGGTGCAAAACTTGGTTGTTTGGGAAGTCCCTCCCTGGAGTGTAAGTGGCTTCCTCGAGATGCAAACAAGGAGATCCGTGCTCTCCATCTTCAGGCTTTTAACATTAAGCTGCTCCAAATAATTTCTCACTGATACTTGAAACTGGGGAAGAACTGAAATCTTTAAAGTTCGGTCCTAGACAGCCCTTTAATTTACAAAACATGTCTAAGCTGAAGGCTGTTGATGTTCAGGAAATGTAAAGGGCACCTTTCCCTGAGCTTTTCACTGCCTGGAATTTGAATGCCCTCCGTGTTCAGCCAGCGAGCAAAAAATTCCCATTTCTATCCCGATAAAGTTTGTGTTATCAGGGAATGGTTACTGCTGGTAACCCAAGCCATATAAGGTGTTGCTGTGGCTATAGGTGTCATATAAATGCCTGTAATAAATAGTGGAATAAATGAACTTTACCCCTGGCATTTGTACATTATGGTATTGTCTTTGTGATCGCAGGTTGCTCGGGTACCTTTGTAGAGCTGAGGCAGCTCAAGGAGTTGAAGTGGAACAGAATTTTCGTGGGCTCAGCCCGAGCTCGTGACGTGTTTTTTCACTTTCAGAAGCGACTTGGAAGGAAGAGCTTTTGCAGCAGCCGCCCGTTGAGCTTCCTGCAACACCTGTGTCTGTGTGCTCCCTTCAAAACAAATGTGACCTGTTCTCCGTTCAGCAAGTTTTTCTGTGTAACTGTAAATTCCCACTTGGTGTTGGAGCGTTGCCTCTTCTAAGAATGGGTAGAGGAGTTCCCTTGCTTTGGCAAGGAGTTTCTCACAGGCAAAAGACAGGTCGAGATACCTCAAGGCCTGTTTCTATTTAATCTGATCATCGACTTTGTTTCACACCGGTATTTTTCCATTCTTGCCTTCCACCCCTGCGTGCACCAGGTACATCCAGCACTGCCATGCCCCATCTTTGAGTTTGAAGTCACAGAGAAGTTTCATCATTTCCAGAGGCAGGAGGTGAAGGCTGCAGCAGTTTTCAGTGGTTCTAGCAGACGGGAAGTGAGCTGAGGTAGGAGCTGTGTCTATTATTGTACCGGAGCCATCTGAAAGCACTTAGCAGTAGTGCCTGTGTTGACTCGGGTAGGTTAAATATGCCCAGGACTGTTTGCTGGCACCCAGGCCAGCTGGCAGAGGGTGACACATGCCAGAACACGAAACTTATCTTCCGAGCAGGGCAGCTGCGTAGCGAGGCTTGAACCACAAATCAGGAGCGATTCCCGAGCTGACTCCCAGACCGTGCCTGGGAGTTGTTTGTACGAGCGTGAGTTGGCCAATGCTGTGCTGGGAACTATGTGAACAATTTAGCAGTATAAACGAACACTTTCCAGTTCAGGGAAAACATTTCTTGGCACTGTTTTAGTTAGCGTTGTAGACTTAGATCACGTGTTGAGACAAATCTTGAGCAGGAAGAAGGATTTAAAAACACGCTGCGAGTTTTGCTGAGACGCTGCAACGTGACCTGAGCCCAGCTGGATGCGTCTGTGCTCCTGACAAACTCGGTTTACCCCAGTGTCTCCAGCAGCAAACGCAGTGCCCCCAGCTACGAGCAGGTGGTTTAGGAGGCTGAATTCAGAGAAATAAATAGGGTATTTTATTCAGCATCTGCCCTTTCTTCACTGATCTTGATTGATCATAAGGATGGGTGTATTTCTTGCAATGTGCAGTCTGTCCTCCCTCTGGGTATTGAAGGGAGGGCATTAAAGCTCTTAGAATCATTCCAGGTTGGAAGAGACCTCTAAGATCATTGAGTCCAACCACCAACCCAACCCCACCATGGTCACTAAACCACATCCCCAAGTGCCACATCCACGGCTTCTTGAACCCCTCCAGGGATGGGGACTCCACCACTGCCCTGGGCAGCCCCTTCCAGTGCTGAACCACTCTTTCAGGAAAGAAATTCCTCCTTATATCCAACCTCACTCTCCCCTCGCAAGACTGCAGCAGTCAGGTGAGTAACCAAGCATGATACCAATATCAAGCTGCTTTTCAATGTTCAGGCCAACTCAAGAAACCCTTAAAACTTGCTGATCAGGAATCTTAAAATTAGCTGATCAGGAATGCTATCAGTCTTCAGGCTTAGGAAACCAGAAGAGAGCTGCTGGGAGGAGTAACAGGGTGCTGAAAGGGAAAAGGTGAGAGGAGTGGGGTGGAAATTTGGGGTCCTCAGGCAGATTATGTCCCTGGGCTTGTGTTCTTTCTTTCCAGCATCTCCACCGACCACCAGTAGCTCTGAAGCTGCTGCTGGATGGTGGGGAGAGAAATTGGTGCTGGAAAAGCTCCTGGGGTGCTCCTGTTCCTCTGTACTGGTTCCTGCTGTCCCCTTTTGTCTTCATGGCCACTGGAGCTGAGAGCTGCTGTGTTTCCCAAGGATGCTCCTCTGGGAACGGATCTAGGCCCTTTTTCCAAACAATACTAGAAGGAAAAGTGCTTTAAGTAACTTAGCATTGGATTTCAACCTATTCCTTGATCAGCATCTCACTTGCTGAAGTTTGTTACCACTGCCTACATTTGAACAACTTTTGGCATCAGTTTTGTGATCAAGGATCAGTTTTTGTGTCTGTTTTCAGCAGCGAAGGGGTGACTTTCATTACACTTTTCTCTGGCAGGAATGAAGCAACCGCACAGCCCAGTCCCTTATGTGATTTCGAATTCTTCTAAAGTGCTGCTGCCAAAGCAAGGACCACTTCCTATTTTTCTCAATGACACGGGGTTATACTTCACATCCAAAAAGGTCGGCATCTTCTTCAAACGGTAATGGACAAGGAGGAGGCAAGTGACCTTTTCAGATCCCTGACAGCTGCCCCTGATTGTCCACACACACCATTTTCTGCTGGCAGATGAACATTTTCAAATGAAAGAAGAAACAGAGGAAAAAACCCACTAACCTTTAATTTGCTGTAGTTAAACCTGTGACACTTTCTCTACCCATGTGGAGCCAGAGAAGATTCCCACAGTGCCAAAAACCTCCCTTTTTTCCCCTTAACTTAATATTTTGTTCCCCTCTCCAACCACACATGGGGACTGAACAAAACCCAACCATTTTCTTCCAGTGAGGCTGGAGAGTTTCAATGCTGTTCACTCTGTGCCCTCTGTCCAACTGCGTCTCTGTCGCTTGTGTTTGTGCATGACTGCACAGATTGTTGCTTCTAAAATAAATGCCCTTTACATCTGTCTCGTCCGATGTTCAACAGCTCTGAAAGCGAAGCTTCCTGCCGGTCAGCCTGCTGAGTTTTTAGTGTTTATGTAAAATCTCTCACCATTTCATTCAATACTGCTGCAAAAATGGGATTAAGCTGTATTTTTGATAACATCTGTATGCATGCATCTGCATAGTGGGTACCTGAGCTCGGCTGTAACATCCCAAAGAGGAGGATGAAGCTGAGCCTTCATCCCCAGCCCTTGCTGGGCCCTGGTTTGGGGACCAGCTTTCCCTGGTGCAATATTTAATCCCTGGATGAGGGCTTTAGGAAAGGAGAGAACCATAATTCAGCTTCCATTCTGCTGCAGGCATCGCATTTCGGAGACGGCGCTTCAGTGAACTGCAAGGTTTTAAAAGGAGTTGGCATCAAAACCAGCAACCAGGAGGATGTTGACACGTTTTACTACTGGATTTAACAAATACTTCCTCCCTATCCAAAGCTGTTGATCGGCCGCTTCCTTCTACTACAAAACACAGCCCGGTGGCCTTCACAGTTTGCTTACAGCACAAATAAATAACCTGCTGGAAAATAACCTTTTTGTTTCTTTAAAGAGCTAAATGGGGCTGTGAGTGGTACCAACGAAGCAGAGGAAACTGCTAAAACCCACCGCAACAGCTCCTGCCGGTATTAAACAATGAGCACATCTCGCTAGAAAATACAGTGAAGCGGTTGTTAAGAATAGAAACCTCGGAAATATTTTGATAGGATGTCACTTATTTGCAAATCCTAGGTTTGTTTTAATTAGAAATAACACTATTTCCTACTCTTTTTTTTTCTTTCTCTAACAATTACCCTACGCCCTTTGTCGTGCTGCAGCCGGCTCCTGACGTCCCTGCGCGAGGTCCTGATGGGGACAACGCCTCCGCGGGTCGCAGTTTGTCCCTATTTCTAGCGAGATCGGAAAAAGAAATCCCAGCCTGCTTGCTAGCTCTGTGCAAAAGAGTTTTCCAGTGCAACGATGCCCTGAGGCAAAAAACAGGGTAGAAACCAGTGTTCGGCGCTGCCCACGGATCTTGTGAGTCACGGATGGGCAGGAACCGGTGGATGGATCCAGTGGAGTCCAGCGAGCTCCAGTCTGCGCAGCGGGGACCTGCATGGCCCCGTTCCTGCTGCTGTGCTCCCAGGCTGGGCCTCAGGAGTCCCTGCGGTGCTTCTTCTGTTTGTGGTACTCTGATATTTTCTGCTGGAAATATGCTGTGGATGGGAAGAGGTCGGTGGTGAAATGCAGGGGTAGGGGTTGGGGTGTGAGTACGAGCCCTGGGAGCCAAACTGTGCTGGGTTATGGGCAGCTGCACCCAGGTGTGAACCCAGGTGAAATCGGGGTTGTTGCAGTTCCACCCATCCCTCTCACCCACCCAAAATGGGCTTTTTTTATGCTGGGTTAGCCTAAGATTTTAACTCATGCGTTCAGGTTTTGTGTTTCCTGTCCAACCAGCCAGGAAGAGAGAAAACAGGAGACCCTGGGAATGCGAGCAGCCAAAAGGGGGACGCAGACTGGGAAAGTAATGGGAAAGCTGGGGTTGGGCCATCCCTCTCCCACGCCTGGGCAGACCCAGCTCCCTGCCTGCCTTGTAAACCTGACCTAAAAGGGCAGAGGAAGCAGCAACCAAGGCCATGCTGCGCCCCAGTCCCCTGGGCTGGAGAGGGACCCACCACGGGCACCGTCTGCTGCTCGCTACCGAGGGGACGTTTGCTTTGTTCAACGTGGCAATTGCTGACAGAGCACAGTGGATGCCCCCTCCTGCACTATCCCTGAGTGCAGCAAGACCTTGGGGATGGCAAGTCCCAGGCCAGGACGTGTCTGGCCACCAGAGATGTTTGGGGTGGCTTCCTCATCCTTTGTCACCCCTGTTTGCCCCCATCCTGGGCTGAGAGCTGGCTCAGCTCTGCCCAGTGCTCTGTAAACCCATGGGAAGGGGGATGGACGCTTCTGTCACTGGGGGCCCAGGCCGGAGCCGGTGACAGAGCTGAGTCAGGGCTTGCAGGCAGCGCAGCCAGGACCCAGCTCCCAGCTGCTGCGGCATCCAAGCCAAATATTTGCGCTGCTGCTGGTGTGTTGGCCTGAGCGCTGAGCTCTCAGTAACTGCCCTGGGCCCAGCCAAGTGACAAGACCTAAAATGAGCCCAGGGATTTTTTTTTATTGCTTGACAAGCACAGAGAAATGCAACTGTTGAGAGCAAACGGGTGCTGCTCGCTGCCCTGAGCATCCTCAGCCTCCAGCTCCATCCCTCTCTGGGCACGGGGAATCTTTTCCCCTTAATCAAACCCTCCAGGACTTTGCAAAACTCACCCGACCAGATTGGGAAGGAAAAAGGGGGCCGTTTACCTTCCTGTGGGATCCTGCTCTTTTCCGCTTCCTCAATAAATAGGGAAAACATGTTTGTCTTCACAAACTTCTTCACGAACTTGCGGCTGGTCTTGGAGGTGATGGCTTTGCAGAAAGCTCGCTCCTGGAAGGTGCCCGAGCCGTTTCTACTCCATTTGATGTGCGAGGCGTAGTGGCCGACCGTTCGGACGAAGAAGTGCACGAAGGCTTCGGAGACGAGCGCGTTCACCTGCTCGGGTGCTGGAAGAGGACACGGAGCACAAGAGGTGGGGATGGGACCCACCTTTTTCTCTGGACATAGGAGGGATGGATCTATTTCAGCCTCCTCGGTTCGCAGTCCCTGTTTGCATCCCGAGCAATCGCTTACTTAAAACCTCTCTCTGACTGATCTTGCTCAGGGAGCACTGGCTGTGTTTGCTTTCCAGGGTGGTGGCATCTTTGTGTGCCAAATATTAGCAAAACCTGATTTTTCCAGCAGAATTAATTGTTCCTGCTCTCACATTTTGCAGCACAGGGGAAAGGCCAAGGGATTTCTCTCCTGGGCCTGCATTTTGTTGCAAATTGGGGCAGAAACATCCCAGGCCAGGTCTGTTTAGGAAAACCATTTCACTGAGGACTTTGGCCATCTGTGGAGGGCAGCCTGCACCCACTTTACCATATATAAAGAAGTAAGTTACTGTGTACTTCACTTACTGTGCACGTTGTTGTTGTTGTTGTGCCTGTTCAGAGACGTCAGCATCTCGTTCTGCAGCTTGATGGGCAAGATCTCCTCCTCGTCACCCACCTGGAAGGCAATGGGGTTGTGAAGCACCCGGCACTGGTGGAAACCTGGCTTAGATGACCACGAGCAGCTCATTAGCAGGGCTTTCTGGGGAGATCATTAATTAATTGCCATTGCAGGGTGCTGCAGGGGTGCCCAACACATTGACCCTCCAAGGCAGAAGCAGTGGCTGGAGACTTCCCTTCATGGGACATTTCCCCCTGGATGAGTGACACTGAGATGTCTCTGCCCCCGAAACTTGATGGCACCGAGGGGGAAAGGGGCCCTTTCCCACCCCCAGCCCCACACCCTGCATGAGGGCACCTACCGCCCGCAGGATCTTCCCTTCGCACAGATCCACTATCAGGGCCTGAAAGAGAGCAGAGAGTGACCAGGTTTAGCCCTCCCAAGGCATCCGGGCTTCCTCCCACCCATTTTGGGATCAGATTGCTGTGTCCACAGCTCACAGGGGCAGCAGGAGGGACCTGGGCATCCTCCAGGGACCGTGTGTGCCCCAGGCTTGGTGGCTTGTGCCCACACAGAATCACAAATCACTGGGTTGGAAAAGACCTTTAAGACTCCTCATGGAGTCCAACCATAACCTGTTCACCACTAAACCACGTCCCTCAGCACCTCACCTCCTGTCTATTAAATCCCTATGGGGATGGAGACTCCACCACTGCCCTGGGCAGTGATAACCCTTTCAGGGAAGAATCTTTTCCTCATATCCACTCTAAAGCCTTCTTGCAGCCTTTCTAAAGCCCACAGAGCCTTTCTGCAAGGTTGGATGATGCCCACAGCCAGCCTGGCCGACAGCAGCTCCCCAAACCCTTAGGGCTGGGGCTGCGGGTCCTGGGGTGGCAGCACCCAAGGGTACATGGAGGTGTTGCTCCAGGTGTCACCAGGAGGGGACATGCATGAAGCCCCAATCTCCGGCCTCCTTGGATGGGAAAAGGGCACAACCAGAGCCTCCAACCCGGGAGCCAGCACAAACCCAGGGTCAGGGACCAACCCATGGCCCCATCCAGATGCTTTCACCCCACCTGGATGAATTACCTCCTCCATCGGCTGGGCGCGGAGGTGCCGCATCTGGATGCCGACCATGAAGGGCGTGGGGCAGCAGACGGTGTCCAGGAGGCACTCGGGGACCACAGGGATGTAGGTGTGAGCCCAGGTGAAGGGGTAGAGGAGAGCAGCCACGGCGTGGATGCACTGTGACAGGACGCTGCGGGACAAGGAGCCATCGCGGTGGCATCACATGAGGACAAGGAGCTCCGCTGTTCAGAGGGGACATCCCACCCCAAGCTCAGCTGCGTCCTACGCTCCTTCAAAGGTGTTTTTTTTTGTTGCTGTTGTTTTTATCAATAAACAGAGCAGGACTCACCTCAGCTCCTCCGCCAGGAAAATGAGCCGTCGTTCCAGGACAGCGGAGGCGAAGATGTGCAGGATGAGGTTGGGGCTGAGCCGCTGGAGCAGCGCCTGAAACTCCACGTGCTCCAGGTGGGCATCCACAGGTCTTGTGAGCTCGATGAGCTGCAGAAGGAAAGCCACAAAACCTGGCTTAGGAGCTGTAACACTTCACCCATCCCACTCTGATCCCCTGAGAAGGGGATTTGGGAGCAATTAATGACCCAGAGCTGGCAGCATCTGCACCACGTCCCTCTGCAAGGGACAACCCTCATCTTGTCCTGGCCAGAGACTTGAGCTGCGCGGCGCTGAGGATGCAGGGGAAGCCAGCGGTGATGGGCGCTGTGGGGTTTATGTGTTGGGGCACTGAATTTTTAACCAAAATCCCTCTTTTTTTCCAGTGCTCACAATCCCTGGTAGGAGATGAGCAGGGATGTGCCCCCATCTGAGTCTGACAGCTCGTCTGTGAGCAGAAGCCTCCAGGAAAGGGAGCAGGCATGAGGGCATGACTTTTGCTATAAAAACCACAAAGCTTCCTCAAAAGCCTCTCTGGCAGGGCCAGCTGCCCTGTTCCTAGCTGGGGTGACCCAAAAGTGAGTTATCTGAAGGATATTTCCAGATAGGCTGTCTGATCTGCTGGCTTCACCCCAGTCAGGAGCCTCCCAAACCTGGCCAATGCCTCTGCCCTGCCATGGGCAGCCCTGAAACGGTGATGGCTGGAGGGTTAACCAGACCAAGCAACTCCTGTCACAGCCCCTTTCCAGCACAGATCCTGCACGATCCCCACCTCTCACAGCACCCAGCATTT